AAAACAAAGACAGTGACCCAGCCGGGGATAAATCAGTCTCCACTCAAGGGGTACTCAGTCACCAATATGAATATAATTAATCATTTTTTCACTTTAATCGCGATATTTTATTCCATGTCTATTTGAATTACTGTATCGTAATGACCGTTTAAAAAAAATCCTGCAATGTAATGAGTTTGCTCAGAGGTATGGGTCCTTGGCGCATAATATTGCAATGATGATGAGATCGGTTCCCGACGCCTGCTCGGATGTAGCCTGCTCCGGGGGCTGTGGAACGCACTCAAAATCCTTCGACTATCAGACAACGCGATCCGTTTAAATGAGATTCGTGTGGCTGTCAGAACAGATAATGTCACACAGAGCTCAGAACTTTGATGTGGACGGCGAGCCGCGTTGGCAATCACATTCTCTCGTGAGATGTGCACAATTTTGAAACCCCAAACGCTTGGATGCAAACGTCGCCGTATATTTTCGACGCGCCTCTTTACTGGAGTCTGTCATGATTGATCGAAATCTGGCCGGTGTGATAAATCCAGTGAGGGGGACATGCTATCATGCAGTTCCAATTAACTCTGGTAAATGACTTGTTTATCATCTCAACGCTCACTGCAGTCACACCGAACCCAGCAAACAGTCGGGAAGGACAAACGCGGCGAAGAGAAGGCATACGGGTTTGCATATTTTTTACAATCGCGCGGCGTCGAAGGTTCTATAACGGTATGTCAGACCCGCTGGGAACACCTCAAGTCCCAAATTAGCATCAGAGAGTGATAATAATTAGGGCTAACTGCCTCATATAGTGGCGAGCGGTGACGCGGCGTTCAGAATAGGTCAAAGTGCTCCATCGGCTTCATTTTCAGACGCGTGGGGGGCTTTAAGTTGCCGGCCATCCACGGTGATTACACGGTGATGAGTGCATCGCTTGAAATGTGCCTGTTTAAGGCCGCCGGGCGTGAACAGGGAAATCAATGAAGCGGCGGACAGAACAGGCTTGTTTGCTGTTCGCCCATACAAAGCCACGAGAGTTGGTATACACTCTCATTAATGAAGACAAACATGGACAAGCGCTACAGCCAGACTGCACAGTGTCGGGATGGAGGGAGGCGGACTCGCTTATGATAACCTCAAGGTGACTGAACCCCCCCGAGCAAGTGTGCAATAATTTACTGGGGTTGAGGAGAACCTCAATGAATTTCCAATATAGTTGTACAGGAAGTTAATTAAGCCAGCCCATCTTGAAACACAAACCCAGTTTTAGTTATGTTGAAAGTGACGGCGGTCATCGATTACGCACACCGCAAAGGTCTCACAGTTTTGGGTGGTCTAAGGCAGGGGTCCCCAACCTTTTTTGCCCCACGGACCGGTTTAAGTCAGACAATATTTTCAGGGACCGGCACTTAAGGTGTGGCGGAATTAATACAACAAAATAATATGGTATGAGCTGCATGAAAACTGTGGTGTTTTCGAAATATAATAATAAACACAAGGAGCGTCTAATCTGGTCGCAACACTCGTATCGCTCTGGTAATGTTTAATGCCTTCAAAATACGATACAACGCAAATTCAAAGTGCATGAAAATGACGACTCACCACAGCCCCGAGCTTGATTTTCTGCAATCAGACAGTCCCATCTCGGGGTAAT